GTGACTGGGCTCGTCCCCTCCCTGGCCTTAGGTTCTTGCCCAGGAGCAAGAACTTCTTATTACCAAGTGTGGCAGGCTGAATAATCACCCCCCAAAGATAGGTCCTAATCCCCAGAACCTATTACCCTAGGTGGCTAAATGGACTTTGCAGGTGTGATTAAGGGTGGTAACAAACCTGGTGGCTTCAAACAGCACAGATATACTACCTTTCAGTTCTGCAGTTCAGAAGTTCAGCACAGATCTCCCTGGGTAAAATCAAAGTGTTTGCAGGAGACCAAGTTCCTTCTAGAGGTTCTATGGGAGGCTCTGTTTCCTTGCCTTTTCCAGCTTCCTTTCCAGCTTCTAAAGGCCACTGCCTTCCTTGGCTCATGGCCCCATCCTCCAAAGCCAGTGATGTTGGGCCTCCTTCTCATGCTGCCAGCTCTCTGATTCTCCCTTCCAATTCCCTCTACCACTTTTAAAGATCCTTATGATTACATTGGGCCCGAAGGGATAATGCAGGATAATCCCCCTATCTTAAGGTCAGCTGATTAGCAACCCTAGTTCCCTTCTGCCATGTAACCTAACATATTCACAGGTTCTGGGAATTAGAACATAGACATCAGGGTGGGGTAGGGGTGGGTGGTGGCGGTAGCATCGTTCTGCCTGCCACAGAAGGAGGGTAAGGAGAACATTCCAGCTATGATGGAAAAGTATAGGCCGATGTTTGGGAGAAGAAATGCATGATGCAGTTTTGAGGGACAAGGAGGGGACTCGTAACCAAAGAAACTAGGGTTCTAGAAGGACAGTGGTGAGAATAAATTTAAAGAGGTAGATTGGAGCCAGATGGTGGGCAGGATGCCAGGATGGTGAAGAGCTCTGTTGTACAAAAAGAGGGAGCAGGGGTATCTTGATGGGCATGTGGTTTAATAGTTACCAAGATGTGGTGAAAGGCAGGACCGCAGAATCTTGGACATTCATTGCTTTGACTTTAGTCCCATCATGGCCCCGGGAAGTGAGGAGAAGAGATGATCCAGGGCGTAATGTGAGCATCTGCGGGACAGATGTAGGGAGATGACCAGAGCAGTAGGCCATGGAAAACTGACAGAAGGCGGTAGGAGAGAAGGCAGAGAGAGGGTGGAGAGCAGCACAGAGTTTAACCCATTCACCACCAGCTCCCACATTTTAATTCCCATTGAAAAGGCCTGATTCTGTTTTGATAGAAAACATGCCCGGCGCATGGTTCAGAAGGCTATAGAATTGAGAGCTATTAAATACTAAAAAGACAAGGTGAGAAACAATTTGCAAAATCTCCTCTTTTTATAGACTGCAGCGATTGAGAAAAATTGAGCAAATTCCCCAGCTGCCTCAACTGCAGTCTGTTTCAAGATTCCATCAGTTTTTTACGGTACAATCAATATTTATGAATCCCCAAAGAAATGTTGCAAAGAGAAACCCAGCGCAACATTTTCTCAGTGGTTTGCAGAGATGTAACAGGGGGACCTAAATAACTTTTAAAATAATCTCAATGACAATCAAAGACTCTTCCATAGCCAATATGGTTTAATGTCAGTGTTTATATTAGCACTGTTCTGCCCAGGGTGGGGGTGGGAAAGGGAAAACGCTTCGTTTAATCTGTCCGAAAGATGACACTGGGTTATGATAAGTACACCGTAATATGGTACTTAAAAATTCAAAGGAAGTGCTATATTAAAAAGTCCCTGGATTTTTTTTTTTTATTGCATTAAAATATCCTCCATTGGCTAAGCAATGGATTTTTTCAGTCAGCTGGAAAAAAAGATTTCTGGGGGAAAAAAAAAACCAGACAAACAAATCCACATTGCTTTAATGGCTACTTTAGGTTTAATATCTAAACTTATTTAAATAACTCTGAGCCCTCCTGCTGAGAAATATTGAAAGTAATGGATTCCTTTGTGCGTAATCTCCCATTTAAATGTAGAGTTTAATTTCCCTTTCGGCTAAACCTGTGTGAAACTAGTCTTGAAATGTCCCTCTAAAAAAAAAAGAAAACCCCATATAGAATATTTAGGGGGTTCCTTTATTTTATTTAAAATTGGTTTTGGGCATTAAAACTAAATAGTCAGCCACCAGTGAGCCCACCGACCCCCTAAGTTTATACCTGGATCCCAAGCTGGGTGCGGGAGGCCTGCTGGTACCCAGGGGCTCCGACTGAGCACCTTGGCTTTGTGCAGATAAAGCCCAACCTGTGGGCTGTGCTTCCAGAGACCTGGCAGACCTCACTCTCTGCCCCCAGCATTGTCCCCAAATGGTAACACTGGAAATCCCACCACTGGAGCTCCATCTCTGTGGCTCACGGTTCTGATTTCTGTTCTGGGCAGGGTCATAGAGCCCGTAGGGATAAGGGCCACTCTGGGTACATGATATGCATAGAGTCCTATGATGCCAAAACAGGAACTAACACCTAGAAATTGATCGTGCTGCCCCTTTTATTTGGCAGGTCATGAAACCAAGGCCCAGAGAGGGCTGCGTCACCAGGCAGTGCCAGAGGGGGGACAAGAGCCCGGGTGTCCTGTTTCCCAGGCCATGATGCTCTCTTTGACAGGGGCAGATCCACGACACCAGCAGTCTCTATGCCTGGGTCTTGCATATCCAGGTATTAATTCACATGCTTCTTCATCCATGCCGCATAACTGAGAATTTAAACTGCACATGTGAATACATCTAAAGCTGAGTGTACGGGTCAAAACACAATACATTTTTTATAACCACTCCAAACTGCACAGGCATGAGAATATTAGGGTTATTACCAAAAGATTCCTTTAGCTGTCTTCTCTCCATCGTGCAGATAAAATTCAGGTTATAAAGATGCAATTTATCTACGGCCCTTCCCACGACACCTCACTGCTTGCCTCGCGCTAAGCTTCTACACTGGCCAGGATAATTCCTGGGCAGTGGTAGGTACTCGTGGTTCAAAGCTGAGCGTGAGCACAAGACGAAGCTCTTTAAACACAACATCGCTGTGATAGAGAAGAGCCCTGGTTCTGGTCCCAGCTCCTCCTCATAACAGCTGTGGGAGCTGGGCACCCCCTCTGAGCATCACCTGCCCCGTCTTTAAAATGGAGGTGCTGATAATAGTGTTAATGGAGCAAAGGCAGGACGTGGAGCAGATACTTTGGGGGGATTCTTCAGGCTATCAGATTTGATTATATGGCATTATAACATGACAGCAAGCTGAAGACAAAAATAGAATATTTAAGGTCCAGTTTTAGCAGGAGTGCATATATGCCCGCACACACATGCATGCACGCAGGCGCGCGCGCACACACACACACACACACACACGCCCTAGCTCTGAAGTCAAGACCCATTTCACAGACTTGCTTATTACAGGTGACTTAGAGAACACAAGGGGCAAACAGGAACCACAGCCTAAGGTGGTCCGCTGGTAAAAAGCTGTATGCCTCTTCTCTCTCTCTCGGCCTCTACAGTCACCTGTGGGACAGCCTCATATGCCAAATGGCTTGACAGGGTGATCTGAAGGACACCATGAACTCCATGCTCTAACACTTTTATCCCTAGCAGCCTATTTCAAGGATCGCAATGTCGAGTCATTCCAGTGGATAAAAACATTGAAAAACTTCAGTTCAAATGCAGAAAAAGAACCCAGGGGAAACCCTGCTGTTATTAGCCATTAACACTTTAGCTAGAATCAGTTATTCTGTCACCTAACAAACCCTTGAAGATTACAGAAAGTTACACTAGAAAAGGAGAGAGCCGTAGGACAGCGGTCAGCTGCCATCTAGGAAAGGGAGGGCCGGTCCCCAAATCTGGTCTTGACTACGTTTAAAGAACAACATGCATTTTATTGATGTCAGTGACTAGCTTACCATTGTTTCTTAATTACTTGCAGTTCAATGAGATTAACTTAGTTTGTGTTTTGTGTAATTATAACATCAAAGTCCTCTCTTCCATCTTCTGCCTTTCCAGTCTGCTGACCACAGAGCCTACAGTCGTCACCCAGAACACAAAACATGCCGAGGACACTCAGAGCAAGGGTGGGTGGCTCATTATCCTTGTCATTCTGGCCCAGAGGTAGAATCCCTGCTGGTGGTATTACTCTCCAATATATGGGGCCTGTGCTCACGCTGTTGGAATGTCTCTTAATTAAGAATCTTTTTTTGTCTTATGCATAAATTAATCAAGGTAATTATTGTAGCATTATTATTATTACATTGTACTTATAGAGCACTTACCTCCAAGGTGCTCAAAGTAGTTTATAGATTTTTTTTCTTTAATCTAATGAACTCTAGTAGCCTCTAGGCAAGATGGAGAGCAGAGCAGGGAGTACCACAGCCACATTGTAGTTGGAGAAAATGGGTCAGGCCAGAGGTAGGGGTGGCTGCGGGTTGCTGCAAAATAACTCACTCAGATTTGCTTACCGGCTCACATCCATGTTCTCTGCTGTCTGGGGGCAGCTGGGGGCCAGGAGGAGGGCTGCCTTTGGGCCGCCATAGGGAGTATTCCTTCTGCAGAATCAAAAGGAATTTCAGATCCAGATAGCACCTTCGGAGCCCACAGACCCCCTCGAGGAAGGTTTGGACTTAGAAAACAGACCAGAAAGATCCATTTCTCCTCTCTTTCTTCCTCTTTTTCTACCTGCCCTTAAGCCTGACCAAGTCCCCGAACCAGCTGCTGCCCACTGGAGCTGGAAAGGGAGGGTGGAAGGAGGAAGGAGGACACTTCCCCAGCACTTGTCAGCAGCACCACTCAATTTACTCCAACCCTGACGCAAACTGTCATGATTTCATGCATCTCCTCTGATGCTCTAAGTTCAGAGCATGGGGACGGCCCGGCGCGGGCACCATAGTGGTCTGGGGGAAATCCAAATGCTGACGGAGATGGGGAGGGGAGTTTCCAGCCCCCTCTAGCTCGACTAGTGGGCAGCAGGAGGCTGCGCAGCGTGGAAGAGCTGAAGTTCCCGTATTTAGTACTGATAATAACAGTAACAACAGTAACATCAAGGTGGCGACTGTATACACCTATTTCCAGGGACAGATGGTAGATTTCTTCTCTCACAAGACTGCTGGGGTATGTTTGGCCATTGACATCCACACTGTTGTGACTCAGCAGACTCTGGTGGTCATTCAGCAGCCTGTACGCCAATCGTGGTGCTTGCAGGGGAAACAAGTGGTAACTCACGGTGAGCAAAGACAATCCAGTGATATGTTCTGCAGCTATGGGGTCTCTGCCTCCAGGAGACCCTCATCCATTTCATTAAGCAGATCCAATCCATAGCAACCCATGTGCTCCCCCAACACAGAAAACCGCTTCCTTACCTTCTCTGTCTCTGTCTACCTTCGTCTGGCTCATCCTTTAAGAGTCAGCTCTGACATCATTTATTCATTTCAAAGTTATTTCTTACAAATAGTGCCTTTACTTTAAGAATCAGGCACTATTCCAGGCACTGGGGTAGAGTAGTAACAAAACAGATTTTTAAGAATCCTTGCCCTCACAGGATGGGTAAAGGGGGAGGGCAGGTAGTATAGAAATAGCAAATTATCCCGTAAATTAGAAAGCTGTAAGTGCCATGGAAAAAACATTAAAGCAGGGGAAAGTTGACAGGGCGCTCTGGTAATGGAGGCGAAATTCTAGTAGTGAAGCCCACTGAGCAAAGACGTAAAGGAGATGGGGGAGTGAGCCATGCAGATTGGTGGGAGAAGAATTTTCCAAGGAAAAGGAACAGGAAGTGCAAGGACCAAGACCAGAGGATGACTGACGCCTTCAAGGAAAAACAAGGAGAATGGCTGTCCAAAAAGCAAGAGATAGCAAGTGTTGGCAAGGGTGTGGAGAAATCGGGAACCTTGTGCTTTGCAGGTGAGGATGTACAATGGTGCAGCTGCTCTAGAAGACAGTTTGGCAGTTCCTCAAAAAGTTAAACATAAAATTACCATACAATCCAACAATTCCACTGCTAGATATATACCCAAAGGAACTGAAATCGGGGACTTAAACAGATACCTGATGTTTGATGTTTATGGCAGCATCATTCACTCCAAAAAGTGGAAACAATCCAAGTATCCACCAATAGACAAACGAATAAACAAAATGTGGCATATCTCTACAAAAGAGTATTATTCAGCAGACCACTGTAAAGACTTTGGCTTGGACTCTGGGATGGGAGTCATGTGGGGGAAGGGATGGAGTCGGGGAGTGACATGATCTGACGCAATAGACCTGTCCACCAAGGGTCAATGAAGAAGGCACAAGGACGGAAGCATGATGACAAGAAGGCTATTGCAATACTCTAGGCAAGGCATGACAATGGCTTGTCTCTGGCTTGGTGGTAGCAGAGGAGGTGATAAGAGCTGATGTTCTAGGTGTTATTTTCAGGCAAAGATAAATGTACTTGCTGATGAATGTGGGGTATGAGAGATAGAGAAGAAGTAAGGCTAAACCAAAAGGTTTTTGACCTGAGCAAATGGGAGGATGGTGTTAGTTATGAAAAATGGCAGGCTTGGGGATTAAGAGATCAATGCCTCAGGATAGGACATGGAAAGCTTGAAATGCTTATTAAACACCCAACCAGAGGTGTCTGGAGGGTAGTTGAATATATGAATCTTGAATTGAGAGCAGTTCAGACTAGAGTTAAAAATTTTCAAGTCCTCAGCATACACTTGAGACTGGAGGGGACGCCCGGAGGGGTACAAGGAGACAGAGGAAAGCTCTGGGACCTGAGCCCTGAAAGATCCAGCTCCAGTGGCCAGGGGCACGAGGAAGCTGAGAAGTGGCAGCCAGTACAGCAGGAGGACAAACAGGAGTGTGGGGTGCCCGGGAAGCCAAGTGAAGAAAGTGCTGTAAGAGAAAGAGTGATCTGGGGCGCCTGGGTGGCTCAGTCATTAAGCGTCTGCCTTCGGCTCAGGTCATGGTCCCAGGGTCCTGGGATCGAGCCCCGCATCGGGCTCCCTGCTCCGCGGGGAGTCTGCTTCTCTTTCTCTCTCTTCTCGCCCCCCTTGCTTGTGCTCTCCCTCTTTCTCTCTCTCTCAAATAAATGAATAAAACCTTAAAGAGAGAGAGAGAGAGAGAAAGAGTGATCAACTGTGTTTGATGCTGCTGAGCGTTTGAACAGAGGAGGACTAAAAACTGGCTATTGGATCTGGAAATATGATGACAAGAACCCTCTCAGTGGAGAGGAAGGGATAAAAGCTTAAATGGGGCAATTTCAAGTGAGAAAGGAAGGAGAAATTGGAGGCAGAAGTGGAGAGCAGATTTCTGAAGAGTTTTGCTAAGGAGGAACAGAGATGGAGTACAGATGGAGGGGAAGTGGGAGAGTTGGAGGCTAAGAAGGCTCCTTCATCCCTTCCAGCAGGTTAGTTGCCCCTCCTCTGGGTGCCCACCCCCACCTGGGCGGGTACGTCCCATCCCGAACAAGCTGTGAGCTCCTGGAGGGCAGGAAGTGCCTCTCCTTCATCCGACTCCCTGAGTCCTACAGCAATGTGTCTAATATACAGCGGCTCTCAGCAAATGTTTGCTAACCTGAACTAAGTATAGATCTGAGAGTCACACTGATTTACAGGAGAGTAAAAATTGGTGGGGAAATAGGAATCTGAATGGACTCTGAATTCAGCCCTGAACTCTGGCAATTGCTTTAGATCTTGGAAAGGGGACTTTGTATCTATAATAAACCAGATGTGGCTCTTATATCCATTTCCCTTCATCCGAAATTCATCTCAAGTGTAGACCAGTGTAGCCTATAAAGCCAGTGCTGCTAGCAGGAACGCACCAGGTATTAACAGGACACAACTCTGGGGCCAATGCCTGATGCTATCAAAAGCTCAACTCATTGGCCAAATTCAAGTCAGCTGTCTTGAATCTTAATTTGAATTCAAATGGCTAATGGAGGGTTGCTGATTCAGCTTATGTCTTGACTTTCTGTCACTTGTATTGAGATTTTTAGACCATGGGCATTTAGTTCAAGATTCATCTACACTTCCTTTTCTACCTGATATTGAGAGGTGAAAAGCTGACCATATCCTGCAGGGAGAACTGAAAACTATAACTCTTAACTCTCCTCTTGGCTAAGTGACAGCTTGATGGCTAACACTTAACTCCTCGCTAAGCACTGTATTAAAGCCATTTACATGTATTAACTCATTTAACCCTCTCAATGCTTTTATGGAATAGCTTTTATTACTGGCCCTATTTTCCAGATGAGAAAATTAAAGCACATAGAAGTTAGATTAACACTTAATTAATTTGTAAAGCTATGTAGATTATGAGGGGCCATGTGGCTCCAGCGTCCATCATGTGAACCCCATCCTGACATTTCCTCTCCTTCCTCTGAAAGAGGCTTACGCTTTGAGGAAAAAAAAACAAAACTTGCTTTTACTCTCATCTGATGTGTTAGTCTTCTCTATGTAAGGTTGCACTTAGTTGGAAAGAAAGAACCAGCTCTTGATTTCATCTTCAAAACTGGAAAACTATTCTTTAGAAGATGAAAGAGCCATCACATGTGCATCCCTGGACAAGTCATTAATGTCTAAGCCCATGCAGGAAATGAGGATCCTCTTACCTGCTCCGTGTAGACTACAGCAGGGATCAGCATGACCCAGGAGAGGGCAAGAAGGCTCAAGTTGGGCTCTGCCTCTTCCTGTATGACTAGGAAACATTCCTGAACCTCACCAATCCTCCTGCCCTAAGCTACAAAAAAGGAGATAGTTCTCTATACTCCACATGGGCTGTAGAGTCCTCTAATAATTCATCAGTTCTCTCATACTGACACTCTCCATTTGCTGTGAAATGAAGAAAACAAAGCACTGTTCAGTTTGTTGGGGGTGCTTTCCCTTATGTTTTGTGTTAAGGTTGCCATTGGCCATGACACACCGGACTGTCTCCCCCCTGGTCCCAATCGCTCTGTGTAGCTTGCGGTCTCCTCCAACAGGCAGAGGGCAATGGTGCTGCATCCATATGTGTCCACAGAGATACTCTGAACAAGTAGCACCCTAGGGGCCCCAAATCATTTTGAAGAAATGGGTTCATTGAAGTCTCTTCCAATTTAGAAACCTTAGAACTCTGGGAAAAGCCTGGAATTGTTGAGGACCCAGGAGGGCATAAACAAATCTTTTAGTAAACCCAAACTGCATTCAATAATCTAGACACTTCAAGAGAATACCATCACCACATGGTTTATAATTATTCGAAGTTCTGCAGGTCAGATTATGTTGCCTGGTGTAGCAGTGGTCCTGGGTTCACCCTGATATTGAAGGAGGGCTTCCCTATTGATGTTTCCCTACTCATGGGCTGCCACTTTCTTGATCTCACCAAAACTGTGGCCAAGGGCTTGACTTTGTGAGGACTGTAGTTCTGGGATGTTCTCACCTGGCTTCTCGGGAGACTCTGACTCTTCCAACATGTACCTGTCCTCCAATCCCAAGATAGAAACTATATTACTCAGCCTTTACTCCTACATCTCCTCCACAGACCTATATGGTAATGCCTTATTTCCTGCCTCCCTGGAAGGTGTCGCTCCACTAGGCTGTGCTCCCAGATGAGAACCAACACTTCCTAGTTATACCCATTGAGAAGAAAGTCTTCCTAAAACAGCTTAGGCTTTCCTGCATTCTTTGTAGAATAAGCTGGATGCAAGTTGGACTTTTTATTTAGTGGCACCCGGAAATGGATTCAGAGAGTGTAGAACGGTCAGTATGGACTTTTCATGGAACACTTAATAAATAATTACAGAATAGTAGAGCTAGTGGACTTTAGATTTTACCCAATATAGTGCCCAATTTCCTCATTGTTGGCACCTGTTGGAACTTAAATGTTCTTTAAATGTAAGAATAAATAATTTGTACTGAGCTGTAACTCACGAAATCCCCCCAAAGCTAAGAAAGTATTTAAGGTTTTTGCGCCTCTCTTTTACAACCCTGAGTAACGTACATCTTTGAGTTTGAGTCTGCTTCCCTGCTTCCCTGCTTCCTGTCTTTTCCCTCTTTGGGGAGCTTTACCTGTCATGTTTTACTAGGGCCACTGCCTACCTCTGGAAGCAGCTTCTCTTTCTAGTTCACCGATCCTGATACACAGATTATCCAGGAACCAGATAATCACTCTTCCTTGGTCCAAAAAATAAAGGTACCAGGGCTCTGAGATAGGGCTTAAGAGGCTCTCCCATTGA